TAATCACATCGCAGTAGATGAGAACGCTGTTTCCATAGAAGCAAAGAAGGAGATACTTGTAAATACTAATGTAGATACTGAACATTTTAGCGAGAAGCTTTTATACTTTTCTAAGTATTCAAGAATTGTACGTGTAGTAGCTTGGATATTCCGATGGAGAAGGCGACGAATGTTTAGTATAGCTTATATAAGCAATGATGAATTCGAAGAAGTTGAGAATATACTTATAAGACTTATTCAGGGTGAACATTATGTAAATAGAACTAAATTGAATAAGAAACTGTGCATACATTTAGATAGTAATAGTATTATGAGAGTAAAGACTAGATTAGGTTTAGGAAATTATGATAAAGATTTTTCGAGTCCCGTATTATTACCAGGGAAAAATGTCATTGTGAGGCGACTCGTTGAAGAGAAACATATATACTTAAAGCACATTGGATCACATACTTTAATGTCAGAGCTGAGAAACAGATTCTGGATTACAAGTGTGAGATGGCTGGGGTGCGAAGTCAGAAGTCCTCCACGTGTGCCTGGTAGTTGCGGGTCCCTCTCGATACGTCTGGAGGGAAGAGCAGATACTGGGCCGGTGCACCCTGGGCGCGGCCAGTAATCTTCCTCGTGAAATGAGAAGAAATTCTTACTCCTTGGGGACTGGTACTGCCGCGGCTAATTATTCTGACATGGGGGGGGGTCCGTCCCGGACCAACGGTGCGTTCCACTGCGTGATCCTCTGATCAGCAGAGGGCATAGCAGAGGAGTGAGGGCGGGCTCGGTGTGCACTTACCCTGCCTCCGGGCAGACAGTGAAGGATTCTTCCTTTGCTGTCACCGCCGGTCTCTTAATCCCAGTATCGAAGTGTCGTGGATCACGTCTCGCGGCTTTGATAGGGACCGAGGGTCTTGGCTTAACCGCCCGGACCGCGAGGGAGAAAACCTCTATAAAAAGTTACCCCGAATCTCAAGCGGCGACGCACCGCGAGGGGATGGATGGCTGACGGGGTTCTATGAACAAATCAGTCGTTAGTGCGCTCCTCGCCAGGGTACCTGCAGACCCCCTGGCGAGTACTAAATCCTCTAAATCTGCTTACCTTGGTAAGGGGTCTCTGCCAAGGTGGACCTTTAATTCCCCCATACTCGTGGGTACAAGAATGGAAAACAAAGACAAACAAAAAACAAAAACCGCCGTCAACGGCAACGTAGAGGAGAGGAGGAACGATGCGGGGACAGAGTCCGACGCCGCATCGAACAGCGAGGGAGGCTCAGAGAGCTCCCGACAAGTGGAGCCTGGGACCGCGGAGATCAGCAAGTTCTTCCTCAAGCGGTCCAGGCGGGATGGCGACCAGGGTTCGGCATCCGGTGAAGAGGAGGTTTCGGCCCGGAAAATCCACACCAACAGGCGGGGCGGGCTGAGAGGCAAGGGGAGGGTGCTCTCTACCAATCAGAGGGCCGAACGAGCGGCAAAGCTTGCCAAGGAGGGGCGCCACCTGGACGATACGGCTCGGGAATCAGGCGAAGAAACAGATGCGACTGGCGGCTCCGAGGTGGAGCGCAAGGCCAGATTCGTAAAGGAGGTGGAGGCTGCGATCAAGGTCGTGGCCAACAAGCAAAAGTCCTCCTCGAAAGTCAAGGCCATTCCCGCGGCCTCCGCCTCCATCATGGCGGCTGCGGAGGCCAACTTTGCTGGGGCTGGGCCTAATGCGGACGAGGTGGCGAAGCTGCGGGCGGACGTGGCCCGCCTGACGTCCGCCATGGAGACTCTCCAGAAGGAGAATGAGAAGCTCCGCGCAGACCTGGCCAGTCTACATGAGCCTGCCTCTCGCGCGGCGCCCCAGACGCAGCGCCCAAGCCAGCCCGTGCCGGTGGAGAACCAGGTTCTGAAGCTGGCTACCTTCCAGCTCCGGTTCTCCGTGCTGGAGGGCATCGTCCTGTGCCCCCCCCCCCCCCACCTAGGGGCAAACAAGACGGTGGCGAGGCCGGCAACGGCTTCTTACGCGACGGTCACGGCTGCCGCATCCAGGCCGGGGCCGTCCAGCCAGCCCTCGGGTGGGGCTGCAGTTGCCCCTCCCCCCCCTGAAAAGCCGGCTTCGGCAAAACCGATACCGGCTGAACCGGCTCCGGCTAAGCCGGCGACGGGAAAGAGAGGCAAGGCAAAGGCGAAAAAGGGCAAGGCGGCAGCACAGGTGATGGCTGCGCCAGCCCCAGTGCCTGCGGCGAATGGGCCAGCGCCAGCGGCAAGCCAGCTGCCGCCGCCGCCACCGCCCCCCCAGCTCCCTACACCTCCCGCGGCAGAAGCCGGTTGGCAGGTGGTCGGGGACAAACAGAAGGGGAAGAAGGCAGCCAAAAAGGCCAAAGAGCAGGAGCGGCAGCGCCAGTTCAGGGCGCGCAAGATCGCGGCTAGGCTCCGCGCCCCGAAGACCGCAGCTGTAGTCCAGGCCCGTCAGATGCGCAGACCTGCGCATCATGGGCCACCTGCGGTGCCGGAAGCGGACCACCAGGACGACGACGATGGCATCCTGGAAGGGACCGGGGTAGACCTGAGAGTGGCGGTACGTAGGCTCAAGGCCAGGAATACCGCCCCAGGACCCGACGGCTTGCCTGGCAAAGCCTGGGTCCTGGCCTCGGAGGCTCTCGGGCCCCGACTGGAGGGGCTCCTAAGCGCATGCTTGGAGAGAGGCCAATTCCCGCTTCGTTGGAAGACGGGGAAGCTAGTCCTCATTCGGAAGCCGGGGCGCCCTGCGGACTCTCCGTCCGCATAACGGCCCGTGGTGCTGCTCGACGAGGTGGGCAAGCTCTTTGAAAGAGTCATTGCAAACCGCCTCGCCGAGCACCTTGCGGGGACGGGGCCGGATCTTGCGGAACACCAGTTTGGTTTCCGCAAGAGGCGCTCTACGGTGGACGCCATCATGCGCGTGAGAGCCCTCACGACGGGGGCTGCAGTGGCCAGGGGGGGGGTTGTTTTGGCGGTGTCTCTCGACATCGCTAACGCCTTCAACTCCATGCCCTGGAGCTGCATTAGGGAGGCACTCCGGTATCACCGGGTGCCGACCTATCTCCGTCGTATAGTCGGGGACTATCTGACGGATAGGGCCGTCATCTACCCCGGTCGCAACGGTGAGTGGAACCGGCGAGAGATGTCGTGCGGTGTCCCACAAGGTTCGGTTCTGGGGCCGCCCCTGTGGAACATCGGTTACGACTGGGTGCTGCGCGCCGACCTCCCTACCGGCGTCAGCGTAGTTTGCTACGCTGACGACACGCTGGTACTGGCACAGGGGTGTCGTACGAGGCGGCGGCGGAAAATATGACACGCGGGGTTGCGCGTGTCATATTTTCCGCGTTAGTCGTTGAGAGGATCCAGCAGCTGGGTCTTGAGGGGGCTCTGCACAAGTCGGAGGCCATGCACTTCCATGGTCCTCGGAACAGGCCACCACCGGGATCCTCAGCGATGGTAGGAAAGGTATCCATCGGCGTCGAGTCGACGTTAAAGTACCTAGGACTCGTCCTCGACGGCCGATGGAACTTCGTTGAGCACTTCCGACGTTTGGCTCCCAAACTGGAACGGACCGGGGCTGCCTTCAGGCGGCTACTCCCGAACCTGGGGGGGGCCAAACGCCTCCTGCCGGAGGCTCTACGCGGGGATTGTGCGGTCCATGGACCTTTACGGGTCCCTGGTGTGGGCGCGTGGTTTGGCGCGGCTTGCCGTCCACCACCTGAACGCGCCCCAAAAGGTGGTTGCCGTAAGAATGGTTCGCGGCTACCGCACGATCTCCCGCGAGGCAGCGTGCCTCCTTGCCGGATTGCCGCCATGGGATCTGGAGGCGATAGTCCTCGCGCGCCTACACGAATGACGCGCGGAGGCACTATGCCGGGGGGAAACCCCGCTGCCGCGGCAAGTTGTCGTGCAGCGGACAGACTTCCGGCATGATCTCATGGCGACATGGAGAGAGCGACTGTCGCAACCCCGTGCTGGGCACGCCACTATAGCGGCGATAAGACCCCTCTTTGAGCAGTGGCTTGAGAGACGCCACGGCGTCCTCACCTTCCGCCTGACGCAGGTCCTCACCGGACACGGTGTGTTCGGGAGGTTCCTGCACCGAATCGGGCGGGAGGAAACGCCCGGGTGCTCCCACTGCGAGGATCGATCGGAGGACACGGTGGAGCACACCGTGGAGGTGTGCCCTGCCTGGGCGGAGCACCGTCGTGTATTCGTAGCGGCGATAGGCGGCGGCGACCTCTCGCGTCCGGCCCTGGTCGAAGCCATGGTCCGGAGCGCGACGGAATGGGATGCCGTCACCACTTTCTGCGAAGCAATGATGCTAGCGAAGGAGGTGGCGGAGCGGGAGAAGGAGAGAGCAGCAGCTTTCCTTCCCGGCCGCCGCGGAAGACGCCCCGGGCGTCGGGGGCTACGTCGTGGCCCCCGGCCACCGTAGGCGCGGGCCTGTGGACGGCGAGCAATGGGTAGCTCGCCGTCCGTCCGTCTAACGACGACAGGCCGTGTCGACGGCGCGTTTTGTTCCACGCGCGCCTCAAAGAGCTGTCAGCAGCGTGAAGGGGCCCGCAAGGGCCGACGCCTGCCGGGGCTGCGGGCTGTTCGAAAGAGATACCGCGGCTCCGGAACGTAAGGGCACTGAAGGAACACGGATGGTTTTTAGTCAGTAAAAGTCTGACACTCCCTTCCGCTCCACCCAGAGCGAAAGGCGTCATTCGATGATTTTCCATCCGCAAAAAAAAAAGTGTGAGATGGCTATGTAAGGATATAGTTAAGAAATGCATAATTTGTCGTAGGCAAAAGGGCATACATTATGATACACCGGAGACACCACTCCCTCTTGAACGGATTCAAGGCATGGCAGCGTTTCAAATGACAGGTATAAATCTGGCGGGCCGTTGTATTTACGTACTCGTAATCAAAAGAAATGTTGGGTGGTTTTATTTACTTGCGCGACATTTAGGGCTGTGCATTTTGAGATGGTAGACTCATTGTCCACAAATAGTTTTATTATGAGTCTTCGTAGATTTATTGCTCGAAGAGGTCGTATAGACGCCATTTTCACGGACAACGGAACAAATTTTCGAGGGACTGCCAATTTACTGAAGGATATTAATTGGCAGGAGGTTGAAAGTGTGACGGCAGTCCATGCTATAAAGTGGCGTTTTATTCCACCTAGAACTCCTTGGTGGGGAGGTTGGTGGGAGAGGCTCATTAGAGTATTAAAGGAGATGTTGCGAAGAATATTGGGGCGTCAGCGATTGACTTGGGTAGAGTTGGACACAGTCTTGTGCGATTGTGAAGCTGTCATTAATAGTCGGCCACTAACATATGTCTCGACTTGTACCGACGATTTGCGGCCACTTACACCTATGTTATTTCTACATGGCTTACCTTCTAATGATACTTCTGATTTAGATTATGTAGATAATATGAATTTAAATGTAAGATACAAATATTTACAAAAGTTGAGAGAAGATTTCAGAGTTCGTAAGGAGTATTTGGCTTTACTTACAGCTAGATGGAAGGAGAAGACAATAGAAATGAAGAAAGGAGATATAGTTCTAGTAGAGACATACGCGAAAAGGCTATTTTGGCCCTTGGGGTTAATCATGGAAGTAGTTACCGGGGCTGATGGTGTTACTCGTTTGGCTAGAGTCAAGACTCAAAAAGGTGAAACTTTGAGACCATGTCAGAGATTGTATCCGCTTGAGATTTCAAATGATTCTGACCTCTTGCAACGAGCTGAAGTAACGATAGAGGATGAGAAGTTATCAGTAAGTTCAGATAGTCCCGACTTACCCTCCTCGGTTACAAGTGGCGCGAAGGTGACGAAAACAACGCGGTGCGGTCGAAATGTGAAATTGCCTGCTCGGTACTTATGAATTACATTTGGTTTTATGGTTTTCCTTAGTATGTTGAGTTGCGTTAATTGGTTACCATTTTCTTTCGGGTCTGGAGTGTGTTGAGGATAAATAAATATTGTCTACGACCCTTTTAGGTTTTTTATATCTTGTAAGTTGTTGTCATGGTTACGAAAAAATTACAAGAAAAATGTAAGACTAGTTTTTCGTAATAAGTATATTTTTGTTAGAAGATTAAATGTTTCAAGTCTAAGAAATCTTCTTATTTCATTGTGAGGAGCTACATACAACGGTCATACAGAAACTCCCCACAGTTGTAAACCCTTATTGCCATGTAGTAGGGACCATTTTTAAATATTGTTAGATGTGCGGTAGGAGCAACCAGGTTATAACCACGGTGACGTGCGCCATATCGATTGGGTCTATCCCCAATTCGTTGAAAATAATGAGGACTTTTCCTAACAAAGCGGCATAATTCAAAAATATAAATGCACGTCACAGTTAATAAGTTGAATTTAGGGAAAATTTCACCCATGACAAAAAAATCATACTACTTACTTTTAGTACGTACTACTATTATTTATTCTGTGCTTTTAAAATATTGTAATAAAAATAATCTCTCATTATTTTTATAATCAAGTATTTAAGAAATTTGGTTATTCGAATATTGTGTATTTGTACAGCGATCTTTTGAGCCGCTGCAAACAACCGAAACAATGTCTACTCACGACAGTAACTGACGCTGAACTGAGTGAGTGAGTAAAGTGTTCTGTGGCTGTAGCTCAGAGTGCGGCTTCCGCCTATTTACAGAAATAACTTACATACAAGGCTACCAAATCAACGAAAATTTCGCTATCTTGGAGCCGAAAAAAATTAATTATAGCTAAACAAAACAAAATTATACTGCCATTTACATTCAGTGGCTTCCCACATAATAGATGAAGAGATTAAAAAATAGATTGAATTAAACAATGGATATTTTTAAAAGTTATAGTATTTACAAGCCTTGCGGACTTGATAAATCCACACCATAAGCCACTAAAACCCCTTTTTTGTTTAAAAATAGCAAATAATCTATTTAAAAAAAATATCAATAAGTTCAACAATAATTTATCTTTCAAACAATGTGCTTTTTATATCATTTATATGTATAATATGATTACTAGATACGATTTCATTCAATAAAACGTTGGAATCTTATTTTTAGGCGATAGTAGAACATACCTTGTGCTTTCGCTTATGGCAGGCAATAAACAAAGAAAAATATAAAAAAAGCAATTTATCATTTTCGAGATTCTTTTAGGAAATTTTGGCTAATTTTCGTATCGTAATTTTACGTTATGATCGTAGATTCTAAGATCAAAGCTTGTAGATATTACGAAAGGTCCCAGGTACGTTGATATTCGTAAAATGACGCAGAGTTGGCAGCGCTGAAGTGATTTTGTGAAAAGTGAAAATTGGATTCCCTGTAGAGCTGCAGTTGCTAATTGGATTAAAATTGGACCAGCGATCTCTCTTTTGTAGATGTCCCGGTGTAGTATAGGGTAAAGGTTCCTTTTAATCACGTTCCTCTAATCACGCAGGTGCGTTCAGTGACTAAACTAGGTACTTACTTAATACAAAAAGTTACATAATATTAAGGTCTGTGTAAAGTACATGTGTGTTGCAGTTTACAAATAGGTCCTAGCTCAGCGATTAGTATTACTAAGAGAGCAAACACAGATTATCGGCTATTAACGTCCTCCAGACCGAACGGCGACCATCCTCAACGTAGACTAGCCATCTGCGTAGGACAGGATTATAGTGGTCGAGTGTACGTGTAAACACAAGAGCACTTTACTTATTCTCTCACTCTCATATTCTGACGGATCGGTAATCTGACACAACCGGAGAGAGATCAGGCGTAAGCCCAACGGTTTTACGAGCTTACCGAGGTATTAGGGTGTAACCCTGCCAACTTCCTGACTCTAGTCTACTTCTGAAAATATATCTTGACAGAAAATCCCAATAACTGGTAAAGGCCGGATTCGGGATTTGAATTCTAGACCTCATGATCAGCAATCGTGGTTACTACCTTTAGAAGGCAGTTAATTCAGCTATTACCCTCGAGATGACGAGATGAACACGAGGACAATAGAATAATCAGTTTAAGTATGTATAAACGATATCCCTGCAGGTATCCTCACTATGTTATTGCTAATTGCAAAGCACGTAGTAATACAGCACCTAAACTTGCAATTAATTATTTCATTGGTGCCAGTGGAGATCGAGTGCGGGTTATTTTGCGTACTGTGAAATTTAGTATGAGTGCTTAGTCCTTGACCTAGAACAGCCCACTAGCGGTATAATTTGTTCACTAAGATAGTGTTGGTATACCAGAAGGCGCACTTATTAGTTTTCTTCTTTCTATAAGTATTATTTATAATCTATATTGAATAAAAAAGTTTCTGTTTCTGTTTCTGTTTCTTTTATTTTATTATTTTTATTGTGTTAGTTAAATAAATATTGTCCTATTTTAAGAATAAAAACAATACTATTTTATTCTTGTAGTTATTCATATAAAATACAAATGTTAAGAATAAACACAAGTTAGGTAGCAAAGAACCTTTCACTATGGTGCTTCGTTTTAAAATTCTCTAGCGGGTATACACCGCATTCGGCGACCTTTGAAGTTGCAGTGGCACCTTTGATAAGACGCGACAAGTGCCAAGGCGGCACAACACAAAGGCGACCGTGTTCAAGCGAACAGAATATAATGTGTTTCATTACAATTTATAAAGGTCTACAACTGGATATAGACCTCCTCCATAGATTGCTTCATATGGGGCGATTTTGCCATTTGTTATGGCAAATTTTTTATTAATTTATTATGAGGAAGAGGCTGCGGGACGATATGGGGTAGTGGATATTCAGCTAATTATTTTCGGTAAAAATTACAAAAAAAAAATCAAACAGTAGAATTTAATTTATGACAATTCAACTTTTTTTATTTATTTGTTATAATCTTGCCAATTATACCTATATTATATTTAGTTTGTCTAAATTGGGCCTTAAAAGTACATAATATCGACATCAGATGAGACAACCTGCCTAAATGAGATTTTTATAATATTGCTGGTGCTAATAGGCACGAAAGTGTGGCGTCGGCACATTTTTCTCTTTCAAGTATGCATGCTATACTTTTTTATGTAAGTATTGGAGATGATGAGTGCGATGATCATTATCATAATCACTCATAATAAGTTTACTGCTAAACAGACCTCGTAGTGAATCCCGGAATCTCATGTGTTTAAAAGTACAGCAACGTCGCCTTAAGAAATACAAATCGGCTCACGGCATTATGTATTATTTTTTCTTTCTTTTTAAACCATTAAAATTTTATATTTTAGTGCTATTATATACGAACTATAGAAGTGAAATTTAGACCCTGGTGCAGATTTCCTCTGAATTCAGACCAACTTTGTGATGTCCAGCAGTTTAATTAAAAAAAGTAATGTTTATTTCCTTTGACTTAATTTAATCTTTGTGGAAATATATGGGCGAGGCCTAATCTAAATCTAAAAGATACAAATTTTATGACGCACTCCTTTTTAGTTAAGATATCAGGAGCTCCGCTCTTCTACAAAAATTTACTTTTAATAATAACTAGCTGTTCCCCGCGACTTCGTTCGCGTGTTAGGGTTTTTATGTTTCTGCGCGGAACCATGATTCTTTTTCTAAAATAAAAGTAGCCTAAGTTACTCCTTATGAAATCAGCTATTTGCCAGTGAAAGTCCCATCAAAATCGGTCCAGCCGTTTCCGAGATTACCCGGAACAAACAGACAGACAGACAAAAATTTTAAAAATTGTATTTTAGTTATAGGTATCGTATTTACTTTCATATGCATTTAGTAAAAAACTGTAATTTTGACCTTACAAACAGACACTTAAATTTTATTTATTTGTATAGATAAAAGTCAGCTACAAAGATCTAAAACCAAAAATTAAATTCTAAAGCCCGTATGGATAGGATGAAAAGCCAGAAACCCTTAATTCTAAATCGTGGATCGATATAAATGTCCATGAGCTACAGCATCCTCTTACCATTCCAAACCACTACGGCATTGTTTTATTTTCAGGGTACTCTAGATATCTATATACTTTTATTTTAAACCCAACAGCTCAATTTTAAGACGTTTTGTAAAAAAAACTTCACCTCAGTCCTAACTAGAGACATCTGGTGAACGGAAGATTATTAGCCCTCATTGAGGCGATGAATTCTCTTACGCTGTAACCACATGGTATTTATTTTAAATTCTTGATTTGTATCATACGACATAATAACGTTTGAAACAAACACTGATTTTCGGCATCTATTTAATTGAAACATTTTATTCCTTCGTCTAAGTTAAAACCATTCATTAAGTCTGCAACGGTTTAATTCTCGTCAGATGAAGTTGATGAGACGACGCGCCGTTGCTATTTTTAATTTTATGCTTTCATTTTCTCTGGAACGCTCATTTGCTTGAATCTGCTATTTTATTGGTTAATTGTTATGGCTTATTACACTAAAGAGATTAAGACACTCTGGCGTTTCTTCATTTTTCGGTACGGTTTTTTTGTTGTTATATAAGCAATACGAGCTTTCAAGATACTGGTACTGATCGAATGTCCAATGATAAATATCTCTTGTATTCATTATCACCATCACTTTATCCTATAAGAATTCACTGCTGGACAAAGGCCTCCTCTAAAAACTGCTACAAACTGAACTAAAGGATGATAAACGATCACAAATTCTACTTCATGTTTAGTTAGTCCTATGACCCATAGATACGTATATCTATATCTCTCCTCGATTAATAATCAAAATGCAGATGCGTTGTCACCCCTGAGAACTAAGATGTAGTGCCCCGTTTCCAGTAGAAAAGGTCGCCGTTTCTCTACACTCACCATACGAAGCAAAGTGAACTCGTCGTTTTTCCTCGGTCAACCGAGGAAAAACGACGAGTTCACTTTGCTTCGACTTCGACCAATTCGT